CGCAGAAGATCGATCTAGCTGTCGATTTCTGTGTGCCACGATGTGCTTGAAGTTCCTATTGAAAAAAATCTAATTCACAAAATGATTATTAATTTAGATCTTTTTTTATTTTAGAAATATACTCAATTCAACGATGGATGCATTACAAGTTTATATTCCTTAATTACTTCCACAAAATCGACAAAACGTAGTCAACAAATTATCATCCACGGATCTGCCGTCCCTGTGTCACTATTAGATACCCTAAATGTAATATTGAACCAGATCTTAAGAATTCCGATTAAACAGTATCCACATCGAGCTCATATAAATGTTCATAAGGGCATCAAGTGATGCCACTGCAGTCCCTGTGACCGGGAGGTTCGAGTCCCGACGGTGGTAGGATTTTTGACACTCTCTTGTCAGCTAAGTCGAATTTAGTCTATCTGGAGGAGAATTCTAGCGCCCGGCTGCTCTGATGGGTAGTTTTCAATGTTTTTTCCGCTCAACATCAGACGAATGCTGGAGCAGTACCCGAACAAACGGGCCACGGACCGCGCGCGATCTCACTTTCCTCTTCCTTGTCGTATCCTCACACCTTACACACACACACACTCACACACACACACTAACACGCACACACTAGACAATCAATAAATCAATCACAGAGGTTCGCTTTTAAAAATGAAGTTAAAAAAATACTATTGCCAACATGTAGCTAATTTGTGAAATGTATTCTGTACTACTACTACTACTACTACTACTTCTACTACTACTGTAAAAATGTTAATAAAGGTGTGTCCCCAAAAATTTTCTCTTAGTAAGTTTTCGTTTGTCACTTCTCATATCACAGGCTGTAGACGTCTCTGAATGTACGCAAAGTCTTATTCAAATTAACAAATCTCCCCGATTACTAAGTATCAATTACCAAATTCACAATCAAAATTAAAATAACTTCCTGAATAATTGTTCCAGGAAAAAAATGAGTAACGTAACGTTGAGCGGAGTTATTACGAATGCACTGCTTTTCATTTTATTTTATTTTATTTTAATATTCGTGTTGCGTTCTTTGAAGTTTCTCTCCGGACCGAGAAATCTACCTATGTTCAGAGTGTTTTATTCTTTACAAACAAATAACATTTTACTATAGGCTTGCCACAGCAAATAGTGGCGTAATAATTGTTCTTGTGATAAATCACACGCAGATCTCTTACATTAAGTACTGTAATCTTTAAATGTTTCCATACAAGATGTCAGTTTTACAAATTATATATGGAAAACTGTTTATTATCAAAAATTCACAATGATAATTTTCACAAAAATGCTGATTAGTTAGCATCAAAACATCTGCTATTAACTTTTTTCAGGTTACTACACACAAAACTATTTTTCGTGTATATAAATCTGTTCCTACCTTTGCAACGCAGGACATTTTAAAAAATTCTTAAAATATCTAATTATACATTTTTGATTTTATAGAACTTTATAGAATCTTCTACGTAATATTGCCAATAATCCCTTCTCTGGATGTCCTGTGAGATCCAAATCTTCAGTGATGTCAATTTGTAATGTTAAAAACCCTGAAAGACATTTCTGGCGAACAGGAGAATTTTTTTAAAAGGAAACAAAAATAAACAGCAAACAATCAGATTTTGTTGTTTTTTTTTTTGTTTTTTTAGTAATATATACATACACGTTACATCATTCCTTATTGAACAAATATTTACAAACTTGATAATTTCGTCTTGGGGATGTACCACTTACGCCCCGAATTACCAGTATAAATACACTTTACTGCCGCCTCGCAAATGGAGAATTGCCAGGATCTGCAAACGAATTTTCAGCGTCACGACAAACGTCCTGACTGCATTGCTTCCGAAACACTGGGGCGCGATAATCTCGCAAACGTATTTCCATGGCATCTCATGTCCGCAACAGTGCCAAGCGCATTATCAGCATTTGTGTTAACGTGATACGGCCAACCGCAAACTTCCCTTGTTTTCTTTTTCCCGTTTCGATTTTCTAGTTTGAAATTAGCGAACAACACAAAAATCAGACGGAAACGAGAAAATTCAATTCAGGACGAATGGCCAATATACATGTGAAACACCTTTCGTGTTTTTACTGCTGCTTCAATAAAAAATCTCATAACTAGAATGTTAGCAAAAGATCTAATAAATGAAGAATCTGTCTGGACTTCCACACTAAAATTTAATTTACTTCTGCTGCATATTAGAACTGGCAGAGCGTTCGTAAACCATACTCATACTCATTTATTAGCTGGTGCCGGCGACTAGAATTCTCCGACAGCAGCAGAATTCGACCTATCTAGCCTGTGACATAAATCCGCTACCTTCAGGACTCGAACCCTAGATCTCCTAGTCAGCGAAACCGCATTGGCAAACGTTTTCCCATACGAAATCACTTATCCTGTGTATTGTTAAAATAGTAACCGAATAAAACGATTTCCATATTTTAAAAATCTTCATGATCTCTAAGACCTTACTAGCTACAGAGCTAGGTCGAATTCAGTCGCTGTCTGGAGGAGTCTTCTAGCTACCGACTTTTCTGTTCGGTAGTTTTCCGTGGTTTTGCGGAACAAAACCAGGCGAATGTCGGAGCAGTACCCTAACAAACAGGCCACGGACCGCGCGCGATCTTTCCTTCCTCTTCCTTGTCCTAGACTCGCCCCTTACGCGCCCAGAATCATCAAAGACCTTGTTATGCTGGATCCACGCACCCAGAAGTGTTTTTTTCTTTAGATTGTACTCCTTGCGTGATTAAAATTAACTGTTTGTATCACGATTGTTACCAACATTCGTAAATAAATAAATGCAAAGTAAGTAAATCTACTCTAAAATCTAATTCAGATGTAAGCCATAAGAGGGATGGGAGACGTAATTCAAAGATAAGTTGGATCGAATTACGGAAGAAATCTATTATAATGTAGTTCTCTTATTTTTCAAATAAAATGTAGAAAATCTGTTCGGAAATCATTAAAAATCCAAACCGCAGTGTTTTGTAAACAAAACCATTTTGAAATCATCGAAACCAAGCGGAACAAATCGATTCCAAAAATCAGAACGTTATTTCAAAAGGATTTGATGCTCCGATGGGAATCCTACCTCTAAAATCTCCTTGCGTATTAGGGGCAAGCGTCACAGAATAACCACACATTCACATAGAAATGTCGTCACTTCACATAGAAATGCCTGCCAAGGCCCTTCGTCACCAAACGCAGACATTCAAGGCCACGCAGTCTCGATTCCGTGCCCTCCCTGCCTCCCTCTGTCAAGTCAAGACAACAAATTCGGACATCAAAGACAACCAGCTGAAAAGCTGTATGGATATCCACTATTGGGGAAACAACAGGTTTTGACACAGTTAATGGAATTTTTTTGAGGAGTGATTCAAGAAATGGAATTGCAAACGACCTTTATACTATAAGAGAACTGCATAAGAAAAGGAAAAAAAATGCAAAAAAGGAAATAAAATAAAAAGTCTAAACGACCATTTTTAAACACAATTCTTTCTAATATGACTACTCCTTCAATTGTATTTTGTATATGACGTTCTTTCGGTTACGTTAGTATTTCAGAATATTGTAACTCTTGATATAGAATGTTGTGCAAGGTGTACAGTACATTCTCAACGTGAATGGCGGATAGTCTACATACCTAAAAAAACGAATATATTACGATTATTATTATTATTATTATTATTATTATCATCATTATCATCATTATCGTCATTATCGTCATTATCATCATTATCATCATTATCATTATTATCATCATTATCATCATTATTATTATAAAGTGTTTAGGTTGTTCAGTACTAGAGGAATACTCCTAAACAAAAGAAACTAGTAAATTCATGACGTAGGTACGAGTATGTCCGTGACCGATATAACAATAAGTAGTATTTTGCACCTTATCCCATTAAAAATGCAAAAGAAGTTGCCTTCGTGGGAGACAGCTGGCAAATACTTCATTCCACGACAGAGGAACTTCCACTCAATTATTTCCCGAAAGCCCAAAACCATCTTAAGAATGACGGACAATTCCGTGACAGGCAGACAATTTCAAACGCCATGTGAGAACATCCTATTGGGCAGGTACCTAATCTTACTTCCCCAACTGTATATGTATTCACGCACGATAAAATGAAACAAAACGAGTAAACAAAAATCACCACAACGTGCGGCTATAACGATAACTTGAGGAGATTACTGCATAACTCAGATATTCATGTTGAGAATATTAGTCGCCAAAACAAAACACTGCAACAAAGTTCATGTACGTCAAAGATCATGATTTATTTTCGTTAGTTCCCATTTGTCAATATGTGCTGGTAAATATTCTAATTAGCTAGAAAATAAAATATGTCTTCCTTTGATGATCCTGAGGGGAATATGTTGTCAAAATAGTTATGTTTTAGAAGTACTTTTTTTTTAAAACCTACTATTGCAGTTAATAGGTTACATCCTTGCAATGATAAGGTTTTATGCAAAGACTGAACCGTTTTCATTCTGATCAAATACTTATTATTCGATTTATAATGATTCAAACATACTTCATTATGCACTTTCTAGTCATAATTCTCCGATAATTCTTTAATGGGACTTGCTTAAAGTATTAAAGAGAATGGATGAATATAGAGTAAATATGGCATAAATGGTTATTCTTATAATTTTCAGCTTCCACCTTTCATGGACAGATAAAAATACATTTTTCAATTTGTTAAGAACCAAAAAAAGAATCCCACACAACTATCATGAGTTACACCTGCCCTAATAATATGGTTTAATTATTATTGGGGAAATTATTTATTCATTATTTAAATTATAATTATTTACAAAAAATTATTCAGCATAAAACGAAAGATTCCAGTTTTGAAGCCTGAACCACCTATGACTCCCCTTAAATTGGCATTACTTACTACTTCACAGGTTTTTCGAGAAGGTTGAAGGAAGCTATTGAACTTTCAAAGTAATAATCATTTTAAAAAACACGGGATATTCACTCTTTTACAGTAGGATATGACCATTGAAACTTACCCGCCTTTTCAGCCATCAATACCAGCCATGTAAAGTTTTCCTCACTGCTTTCGGAACATCTCCGACGATAAATAGCTTTTGCAACAGACGTCACTCCTACATCCTCTTGTGCTTTTCCTGTAGCATCTAAACGCCAACACGTGCCATCACTCACAGCGGGAAAGATACGAAACACCGCCAAAGAAATTGCAGCCATCCAGTGGCTTGTCCGTAAACAAAGATTAGGTTTAAATGTAATGCAGCTGCCAAAAGTTGTCATACAGAACTACATATGATTGCTTCTCACAAACAAATTACAAACGTATGCAGAAAATTACGCCATCTCAAATTCTTATGATTGCAAACGCATTAAAGATATTTCAGTATTTCACATTTGCATTTAGTGAACATGCAGCCTTGTCAAAATGGCCAACATTAGTTATCACTGCACACATGAGTTACAAAACACTACAATATCCTAATAGTGTTTGTTAATACAAGCCATGTAACAGCGATTATACAAAAATAAGTCAACAAAGTAATGGTAAATGAAGAATTCTTCGAGTAGTCATTAAACATAAAAAATCGTTTTATAGAAAAGCAAAACAACTGAGAAACGACGTTTCATAAGCTGTCCATCCCCTCTCGTCTGTAATTGGCTTGTGCAATTGGCAACTTCCATGACAAACACCATCGGCAGCATTACAACTATCAACATCAATATCATTAACGTTTTCGCACTGTCATCACACGATTTTTGAATGCTACCAGTCACATACACGGAGAATCATGACTAAAGAAGACACCCAAAATATCACGAGAATAAATTCGGGAGTTTTAACACGAAACGAAAAAACAGCATCACTGTCACGTGGGCGGATTCATATACTAAACTGCTGCTAACCCTCCATCTCTAGGTCACTGCCGTTCCCTGTAGGCACATTCACACGTGGTTCCACGCAATGAATGGAGATTGGTCGATAAAATATTGTTTCAATGTAAAAAGCCCCGATTCGAAGAAAAACAATTACCGAAAATTATTCACTCTGACGAGCACGTCCGTCGTCCATCGCAAGATGAAATACTTCATCATCATCATCATCATCATCATCACAGTTTTCCCGCCGCTAATACAGCAGTTTGAAAACACGCATCTGAAACTGGATTCTTTCAATGAACACATGACAACCATATAACATCCATCAATTTGCAGATGTTAACTGATTGTATTACAATTTGTAGGTGTCCACTACACCGTGGACACACACAACCGAATTCCGGATTTCCGGCGCCACAGTGAATGAAGATCACGATGGAAGATCAAACGATCACACGATCTTGAATCCAGAGCTTATGAAAATTAATCAAAAACACTGCAAGTAATATTTCCTCTGACTCAACAACCCAGTATGAATCCTACATAATGATGACATCCCTTTTATCGCAGTTAACATTTTAGGATGTTACGAAAAAGACAATACGATAAGGGTTAATCGAAAAAATCACGCTTGAAGTACGGAAAAAGAAGAGCTACAGTGAAATTCAGTCACACAGATCAACTCGTGTGACAATCATCAACATAATAGTTTTCCATCGTTAAGACGTGAGTATGGAACGTTACGAGCTAGCCAAAGAATAAATATTGACACACAATAATACTGTCTTAATTGCATGCTTTGGAGAACGAATCCAAAAAAAACGATCAAGTGAACTGTTACTCACCCTGAGCACCAACATCCGCACCAAACCCCATCACCGCGATGACACCCATCACCATCACCACGTGCGTCCAGCTGGGCGCCATCCCGGAGGACCACACATCCACACGCACACGCACTCACACACAACCGCACGATCACCGGCACACGCTCGGGCGGTGCGCAGTTGACGTGCACGACGAAGTCGTGGCTCTCGCTCGCTCGCCCGACCCACGATCGCAGCACAGCCGGCGGCAGCAGCGCTCCGCGTCCCGACTCGGCTGCGGGGCGACTGGCGGCAGAGGCAGCGGCGGCGGCGGCGGTGGCGGACGCGCCGCCGTTCGGAGACACTTGCCGCGCGAACCGCGCCGCGCCCCTCCCCTCCCCTGTCACGGCCGCCCCACCACCGCACCGCAGGCCGGCCCGCCGCGGCGGCGCGGCGCGGCGCGACGCGGCGCGGCGCGCGAGCCAAGCGACGGCCAAAAGACCAAAGACGCAAGGGGGCTGCGTGGCGCTCTTAGGCGCGCGAGGGTTCGGAGGGCCTCAAACAGGAGACAATTGCATTTCTGGGCCTCTTCATTTAATTATTTACTTGTATATTCATTTTATTATTTATTTATTTGTTTAATTAATTATTTACTTATTTATTTGCTAATACCATCAGAAAGTGTACTCACAGATTTTACAGTTAATTTATTGTAATTTTCATGTATTCACTTTATTTTATCTCTTCTTTAGTCTTCCGTTACGTCTCATCTCATGAAACGAGACACCAAGCGGATGGAAAATGAGAAAAAACTGAAGATGAGTGATCGACGTTGCTGTTTATTTCATCTTGAAACAGTACTCTTTGAAAAGTACTCTTTGAAGAGGATACGAACATTCTTTATAATAAAGGAACAGCAAATAGTGCGATATCAAATTAGGAAATAGGTTTCGTAATAACAAATTAATAGTAAATGAAGGGGAAACAGTTTTAGCGCAGTTTTCCATTTCAAAGAAACGACTGTATATTCCAATGAAAATGAACCATGTGCCATCAACGGATGTCAAGGTAACAAAATTTTTGGATAGTAATAATCATATTCACAAGGTGTCGTTATAACAGCTTTCTAAAAAAAATTAATTAAAAATTTTTAAAAAGACATAATACATGTTATATATTTTATATCACATTGTCAAATGACATTACCAATTAAATTCGATTCACAAGTGCCAAGTATTTTTTTTCTGTTGCATTACTGTTTCTATATAATTAAAGAGGATACCGAGTATCAAAAAGTTACTACACGAGAGCAAATATTTTATTTTCGCATCTTGTCAAAAACGCTCGTTGCAGCCTATATTGATAATGCATACGTTTAGTATACGAACTTGGGTACGAACTCCACAGCTCTAGAAAACATGTACTCATTGCACTTCTCTCTCATAGTAGTTACATACAGTGTTTAATTGTTGTTGTTTTTTGTGTTCAATAAAATAAGTACAACAGCTGAAGTCAAAATATTTCCGAGACTGTTGTGGCGCTCTCAGGTGGTAATATGAGAGTCAATATTTTCTTGAAATGCCGGGAGCCCAAAGTGCAGTCTTGACAAGGTCGCGGGCAAGTAGTATACTCCACCCTACTCCAATTCTACACTTTCATCGCAACACTCCAATTTAAACACAGTGGCACTTCAAGGTCATGAACTTTACAAGCTTTAAGAAGAAGGGGGCATTGTCAGTCAATCAGGAGCTCCAATCCCGAAAATTAAAGGAGTAAGGGAGATTCAGAATTAATTACAATGTACCCCTCCCCGACCAACTGGTGACCTTGAAGTGCCACTCTATTTAACTCAGAGCACAGAGTTTGCGGGCACTGTGACCAGAGCAACTGGTGCGAGGTTTAGGGTCACAAAATTCTTGAAGATTGGCTGATAAATCTTGTGATAATTATGAAATGTGTCTTTTCAAACTGCTGCCAAACAAGTAAAGTTGGCATTTCAGGAGGGAGGGAGGGTGGTGGATGTGACTCGCTTTCTGAGGGAGGGATCGGGAAACAGGGTGTTAAGCCACGCAAGGTCAACCTGAGAATGCTGAAAGAAAGTGCGAGGTTTCAAGCCTTAGCAAAAAGCCCTTTGGAGGAGCATTTGGAGCTGTTTTCAAGGTGTTGACCGTCGAAACTTATTGTGCTAATGTATTTGAAGCAACAAGAAAGTTCATGCTTTGCATTAATAAATAGTTTGACGTGGAAATTAATATTCGCGTGTTATCTTATGCAAAAAGTTAAAAAAATATGCATAAACGTCCATTAAATGCCAAAAAACTCTAAATACACAAAATATGCTTTATATACAAAACGTTTCTTACCATATATATAATATTTTGCCACGAAACATTCATATATAAAGTTTAAGGAAAATATTTTTTTTTTAAACCATGAAATTACATGAACCTCCCAGTCATCATCACTACACTACCACCTCACTTACAGGTTTAATGCCCTAAGTAGTTGACATGTCCGAAAACCAAATCTACTCACTCGAAGTTCATGAAATTTAGTGTAATTATTAAGAAATTAATCACCCACAACTGAAAAAGTGGTTAGGTTGAGAAAAACAATAAATAGGGGAAGGGGACATTATCACCAGTTGACCCGGGGCCGCCCAAGTCTCCGGCTAGGGGCCCGCCGGGAACCCGACACCGGAAGCGGCTATCGCCTTGTCGGGCGCTAAAACGCTCCGCTATAAATCACCCGAGCGGGCGGGCGGGCGGGCGGAGGGCGACGAGGAGATAGGACTCGAGACTTTTTTGGCGAGGGGCAGGCTAATACTAATACAGGGACGAATTTTCATCAAGCAGAGACTAGACCAGCGGTTGCTAACATAAAAAGAGGCATTTCCAAATCGAAATTATGACGTTTGGAAATTTTACATATAATCAATTTCTATACATAGAGCCGATTATTAATCAGAAAATTGTATGTTTGTCAATTACTAATTTATTGTAAGTGACAATTAAAAAGTGTTGAAATAAAAGAGATTATACAATTGTATTTATTGTATTACCAGAATTTCAAGGATTTTTAATATGCATGTATTCAGCAAAGCAAAACCTAATTTATTTTGAGTATGTATTTAAATAATTTTTACGAAGTATTTAAATATGAAATTTGAAGCATTTAAATATGAAATGAAGTATGTCATATACTTCTTGTTGGTATCGATTTATGTCTCGTACCATTCTGATGGAGGACAGTAGGAATTGTGTTGGACTGTGTGTGCCGGCGGGGG